GATCATGACCAGATTAGGGAGTCACCTGACCCAAAAGTGGCAGCACGCCGGGTCATATAAACCCATCATCTGGAGGATGACTGGATTCACTCTGAGCCCCTAAAGCAGACTCCCAATCCTTTTTTGAACATCAAGGTGTGGCAGATGAGCAACAGGGTAGGGCACCCCAAGAGATAAGAGTGAGCAGGAGCCCTGTGTCCACCAGGGAGTGATACCACACCATTGGGCACAGGTCTTGTTACACTGTCAAAAATTACCAAATTTGTTGCTATGCATTTGCTAGTGGCATGTGAAGGTGAAATACGATTTAGCCCAAATGTCTGTCTGTGGCTTACTAATGACATATTGCTAGCCTGTTATCAAATCCAGAAGATTTTCAGGTAATTGTCTTCCTGGTTCCAAAATCCCAATATGCTTACACATTTCATATACATTAACCAGCTTCCTCAAATGACAAATTCTGTGGTTATGACCTGGTGATGCTTCACAATATTTCAATCACCACTTCCACAAAAATAAACAACCAAACCCTTACCTAGAAAAACCATTTTACTGTCAACAGATAATATGACTGAGAGGCCATCAAGTCTGAAAATGTAAGATACCTGTGACAAAAAACAACTTCCTTTTATTGCATCAAATCTGTGTAATGTCATAGCTTTTCTTTCCAGCAGTGACTGGAGGTGAGTATGTGAGTGCCATACCACACTCATACAACATACTTCTGTGAGTATGACAGCCATACTGCACATTATACTGGATGCGTCTATACGAGATGCTTAATGAGCAGTATCCTAATAACACTGCACAGTAACGTGCCAGACAAAAACCATGCTAATACGCTACTGCGCAATAAGCATCACAAACCCACCCGTGTTTTGGGACTACTCCACAGTAGCACAACCTACTGCAAGAAGCACAGTAGCATAAGTTAGTACTTCATTATGCAAACATTAAATTAAAAGTACAGTAACTAGAGAAGTAGGGTTGGAAGGCACCTCCAGTGGTCATAGAGTCCAACCTTTTCCTAAAGCAAAATCATCCCTATCCAAACCATCCTATATCCATAATCTAAACTCTACCGAAGCCTATCCTCAACCCTGACACGACACAGACATAAACACCCTAACCTGCAACAGGTAAAGCAGGGGAACCACAGCAGCCAACATCCTGCTTCTATGAAATGTTGTCAACACATTCTCAAGACATCCCAGGAAGAGGGCCATGCCCCCTACTACAGAAGGCAAAAACCCTCAGTCCATACCAATCTGACCATAGGGTAAAATCCCTTCCTAACACTAAATATGGTGATCCATCTGGCCCCGAGTGGAGGAGCATGACCCTCTAGCCAGGAACCTCTGACTTTGGTCCCAGCAGGAGCATTGGCACATACCAGTCAAAGTCCCCAGCCTTGGCTGTAGCCAGCACTTAAGGAAGGCTTAAAACCACTCTTGAAAAATGTAGCAGAAAGAGGGGGCGGGGAGGGGAGACAACAACCAGTAAAACCCAGAAGCATGGGAAATACCCACAGTAGAACACAGACATAGCTACTCATAGATCATCCACAATCAGTGGCTCTTTAACCTCTTCTTACAGTGATGCAGAGTCCACAACTTCCCTAGACATCTATTCCACTTCCTCACTGTTCTAACAGTGAAGAATTGTTTCCAGATATCCAGTCTAAACTTACTTTGCAACTTCAAGCCATTGCAACTTCATGACAAAAAAGGTGTCTTTCCTTTTCTTTATGGCAGCCCTTTAAGTATCTGAAGACTGCTATCATGTCCCCTCTTGAGTGCCTTTTCCTCAAAATGAACATGCCCATCTTCTTCAACCTCTCCTCATATGCCTTGGTTTCTAAGGCACATGAGGAGAGGTTTTTTCTTTTATCATCTTTGTTGCCTGCCTCTAGACCCTCTCTAACTTCCCAGCATTCTTTTTAAAATATGGAGCCCAGAACTGTGCACAGTACTCCAGATAAGGCCTAACTAGCATCAAGTAGAGAGGGCTTATCACCTCCCATGTCTTGCATCTAATGCTTCTCTTGATACCAAACTGCATTCACCTTTTCTGCAGCTGCATCACACTGCAGACTCATTGAGTTTGTGGTCTACCAAGACTCCCAAGTCCTTTTTTAAAGGGCTGCCATCCAGCCAGATGTCACCCATTTTACATATGTGTTTTTTGATTATTCCTCCAAAGGTGTAGCACCTTATATCTGTCTGCACTGAACTTCATCCTGTTAACTGTAGCCCAGCTTTCCAATCTGCAAGCAGCTGGGTTAAACTGCAACAAGGAGGGACAGGCTGACCATTAAGCCCAAGAGGAAACACCTGTGCCTGACTGGGGAGTCACCTGACCAGAAGGGGCAGTGCTCCAGAGCATGTAAGCCCAGCAACAGAAGCAAGGTGGGTAGTCTGACCCCAGCATGGTGTAGGGAGCAGAGCTCCCAGGGAGTGAGGGGCTGAAAGAGGCAGCTTGTCAGGCACCTAAGCCACCCATAGGAGCTGGGAGGTAAGAGCCCACAGGGTGGCAGAGCTTGCTGGAAGGCACAAACCCAGAGGTGGGGAAGATTTTGTTGAAAGTGGTCACTGGTATTTGTGCTGCATTTAAGTTGGAACCAGAGGACTGGACTGTGGCTACAGGAGCAACATGGAGGTCACAGGGGTGCTGAAGAGGAACCCTGCACAGAGCACTATAGAGGGCAGGGACCATAAGGGGGCTGAACAGCAGCAGAACTGCCTGGTCTGGGTTGGAGACCCAGGAGGCTGAGGGGTACATAAGCAGCCTTGCTCAAGTCAGGGACTCTGGGGGCTGAGATTTAAGAAAAGCAGCCTTGTCTGGTTCTGGGACCCCAGGGGTCAAGCGCTTCATAAGCAACTCAAAACCTTATCTATCCAGGTATGAGCTCCCTGCAATTTATGGATTAAACTAAACAGGTTTGGTCTGGACCTGGATGCTTTAATGCCATACTATAAGACTGGCTTAAAGGATAGTCCAATATGCGAGTGTGGTGATGCATCATAGAGGGCTGACCACCTGCTCACGTGTGCAGCATACCCATGCACTCAGGATGCAGGATAGGACAAGGGTCAATGATAAAGCAGTTGAGTGGCTCTGCCACATTAATATATGTAGAGGGGGAAATGAAATGTATGAAAGAAGGAAGACAAGATCGAAGATAGATGATCCCCTAAGTTGTATCCTCCATTTTCTGGAAGAGAAAGTTGTCCTTCACACAAGTTAGGAACCAACTTGACTTTTTAGGTTTGGCTGCATTGTTTTTTTTAGCGGATGTCCAGAAAATTTAAGTCTCCCATTGGTACCATCCCATAGCTTTTGGATAGATTTGTCACCTGCCTGAAGAGTGCCTCATTCAACTCCTCTTTCTGATCTGGTGGCCTATAATAAATCCTCACCAATATATCAGTGCTGCATCTTTCACCTTGTTGCCAGCTGTGGCCATTTTCAAGGGGCCTAGCAGCTAAGCTGCAAAAGTGCTGCTAAGCACAAAGCCCAAAACCTGTTTCCGAGTAACAGCAGTTTGAACCTCTGCAGATGTGACAACTAACCTGGTCAGCAAGTAGAGGAAACCATCACACACAATTAAACAAAGCACAAGGCCTAAATGAAGATAAGAGAAGACCATACATTAAATAATCCATATATGCTATACCATAGCTTTACCTTAAAATAGTAGTAGTAGTAGTGATTGATGTAACCAAATGTATTATATGTTATTTTTCTATAATAGATATATTTTTGTTAACATGCTTACATAATTTGTAAAACAAAAAAAGCCTGTCTGATAAGACCATATAGTAAAGTAAAGAAGAAACAGGAACAGCATTCCACAATGGGGAAGGAAAGGAGATAAGAAACCCTCCTTCTTTCCCAAGGATATAAATTCCAACCAACTGACATCTTCCAAGTCCACAAGAGATCTGGTTCAGTCCAGTTCCAAAAGTTTCAGTTTTCAGAAATTTAAATAAAACCAATCAGGGGTCATTTATTAGAATATTAAAACCAGCCACCTATAAATATTGGGTACAGGCTGGAGGGAAATTTGGAGAACTCAGCAAATTTAAGATCTGATGCCAATCTGCGTGCCACCCTCCTCCCATCTCTCGAGTCTCCCCAGTCAGTATAGGTTAGAATCTATGTTGTGCTGTTGTGGGTACCCAAATAAATTCTGGGATTAATGTTTGTTCTCAAGTTTTAAGATGCAAGCAAATAAAAGGTTGGGCCTCTTTTATAAGTAGCTTAAAAACAAGGTTACCTGTAATCTAGGTAACAACTTTTCGTTTTCACCCAAATGCATTCTGCTTTGCTGTCTTCTTCCTCCTGAATCAGAGAACAAGTTTTTCTCCCAACCTTTTTTCCACCACCCTTTCTCCCAACCCTGTCTTTTCAAAACAGTGTAACCCTCAGTGTTGATATTCCAGTCATAAGAGCTGTCCCGCCAGGTCTCTGAGACACCATTCAGATCATAGTATTTTTCATAGGCTACAGCTTTCAGCTCATCTTGTTTATTTCTCATATCTCTCACATTTGCATACATGCATCAGCTGTATTTTGCAGTTTGACCTACTTGCTTCCTTTTTGTGCCACTTGTTGAAGTCCTTTAGCAATCTGGCCCTTTTCCAGAGTTCAGTTGCTTCTTTATGTCCTTTCTCCTTTAATAAATTTATCTGAGCTTACATACTGCTTAACTTCAAGGTACTACTGACAATACAATGCATAAGAATAACAATGCTGGACTGGGGCAGCTTCAGTTTATAAGACCATAAAGTTAATGCAGTACTTTGCTTAGACAGTTCACATGAATTTGTTTAGAACTATTTACATAAAGAGTAACATTAGTACACAATTCATGTTGTAAAACCCACTTTGTCTACAAGGTAAGAATTTCTACATTCCACAAATCACACGATAAAAGGAAGTAGCAGGTAGCTAAAGATCAAACCATCTCATGTGATACCCAAAATGCTTCTGCATACCTGGCCGGCACAAATCCCCATGCTGTTCTTTTTCACTGGCATACACTTCCATACACCAAGCATGGTATGCAAACGAAAAAAGATCTTCTATCTTCGAAGGAGGGCGAATGGCATTGTTCAGTCGCTTAAGCCACTCCTGACACTGCTCAAACGTAGAGAACTGACACCTGTTCCAGAATCAAACATACCTTTATTAATTTTCAGTCAAAGTTAATTGGGTCTTAAACTGTGATGAACAGCTAGCTTCAATGTAAAACAAAGATAAGAATAAGTATCTCATCTGTAATTATTTCAGCTGCTGCTACGTACATTTTACTGGAAAGTAAAAAAAAATTCATGTATTGATGTTATAATTATTAATATAACAATATTTCCCATTTCTTTTGTATGTCTCTCTGACATTCTTCAGGGGCAAACATCAAGGAAAAAAATCTCCATCATTCCAATGACAGGGCTTTAAAACAAATGGCCCTGGATCCTTGACAGTGTCTCAACCAAAAATATATCACACATGAAATTATATGTATGGTGAGCCTAATTTTGGAATTAACAAATAAACCAAGATACTCTTATCCTTGTCACTCAAGTCCTAAATCAGCAAGGTGCTTATGCATGTGTTCAATTTAAAATACATGAGCAGTCCTACTGACTTCAATGACATCGTTCATGTCCACAAAAATAGGAATGTGTTTAAATGTCTTGTTGAATCAAGGCAAAGAGGAGTCATATTACACATATTATAATGTATTAATGATATTCCTACAAACAATAATACCTTAATAATATTGAAGCTCTCTCTCAATACAAGTGATGCCTGTAAAGCGGGAGGGGGAGAGGGGAATTACTGGCGAGTTTTAAGGCGCTGAGGAATCCAATCCATGCTCTGCCAGTTTTTTTCCACAGATATGATAAGTGGTGCCTTGGGGGAAGCACGACTGTTGGCCATGATGTTGCGTGCTTTCCTTCTTCTGTCGTTTCTCAGCTTCCTGAGCAAGATGATTCTCTTCAAAAGTGGGCTGTAGCTTGATGTATGATGCAGCACCATTGAGACCTGTTACCAGCCAGCATTTCCCAGTTTGTAGGGTTCATGCCACCCTTCTTAAGGTATGCTTTCAGGGTGTCCTTTTAGCATTTCCTCTGTTCTCCTTGGGTCCTCTTACCATGACCAAGTTGAGAGAAGAAGACTTGCTTCGGGAGACAAGTGTCAGCCATCTACACACAGTGGCCAGCCCAGCAGAGTTGATGTTTCATGATCTTTGCCTCAATGCTGGTTATGTTAGCTACAGAGAGGATGCTGGCATTGGTGCAGTGGTCTTCCTGAGGCAAAGCTGATGGAACCATTCCAGGCACTTGAGATGGCTTCGGTATGTCACCTGCATCTGACACCCATAAAGGAGGGTGGGAATAACTCCAAGGATCTTAGTTTCCATCTGCAGATCTTGGTCAGCAAAGACAAGGTGAAACAGCTTACAGAAGGATACACTAGCAGAGCAAGTCTTATGTTCGATTTCTACATCAAGACTGACCGACTGGAGAGGTGGTTGCCCAGGTATGGGAAATGCTTGACGTTTTCCAGGGGTTCTCCACCAGTGGTAATTTTTGAGGACAGCAGGGCAGCTTGTATTAGGGCAGGCTGATGTAGCACCTTGGTCTTCCCAATGTTAAGCGAGAGTCCCAGGCTGTGATAGGCACCGGAGAGAATGTCAAGTGTAGACTGCAAATCAGTCTTAGCGTGCGCGATGATAACACAGTCATCAGCGTATTGAAGGTCGGTGATGCCAATCTTGGTAACTTTCATTTTGCTGGAGGCACCACAGTTTGAAAAGCTGTCCGTGCAATCAATACTTAATCCCAATTCTGGAACGAAGGTAGTCACAGATGAGCAAGATAGATGGAAAAAAGGACTGGGGCGATGATGCAGCTCTGCTTGACACCAGTATGGATGGTAAACGGGTCTGTCTCTGATCCATTGCAAAGGACTGTGGCGATCATCCCATCATGGAGTAACCCGAGGACACTGATGAACTTCAGTGGACAACCAAACCTAGCCAGCACCTTTCATAAGGCTTCACGATTAATCAAGTTGAAGGCCTTGGTTAGGTCAATGAATGCCATAAACAGTTCCTGGTGCTGCTCTCTACACGTCTCCTGGATCTGTCATGCAACAAAAATCATGTCAGTGGTACCTCAAGATGATCTAAAAGCCACACTAGGATTCTTGAAGGAAATCTTCAGCAAGGTGGAGGAGGTGATTCAGCAGGATGCAAGTAAGAATCTTCCCAGCAATGGAGAGCAGGTCAATACCTCGGTAGTTCCCACACAAAGATTTGTCCCCTTTCTTGAAGATGGTCACAATGTTAGCGTTCTTTAAGTTGGTGAAAACTTCCTTGTTAACTCATATTTTGATGAGAAGTTGGTGAATTTTTTGCGCTAGTGCTGTTCCGTCAGCTTTGAAAACCTCTGCAGGGATGTCATCTGGGTCTGGCACCTTGTTGTTCTTGGTCTGAGTGATGGCACGCAAGACTTGCTTGAAGGATAGGGGACTAACAAGATGTTCTGTATTACTGGGTGTTGAAGGATGGTGGCAGCTGAGACCTCAGAGTCATGGCTGTGTATAGTCTTGAAGTGCTCCTGCCAGAGTTACTTGATCAATATATTGTCTGTGAGAAGGTTAGAACCATCCTGGGACTGCAAAAGGGTTGGGTCATTGGAATGTGGCCCATGGATGGCTTTTATTGCTTGAAAGAAGCTTCTCATGTCACACTGGTCAGCAAAACTCTGGATCTCCATGGCCTTCACTTGCCACCACTAGTTCTTGATGTCCTGTAGCCTCCTCTGAACTATAGCTTTAAGCCAGTGGTAAGCCTCTCATTTTTGCTGGCTAGAGGGTTCATTTTGCCAGCTACACCGAGCACTCTTCTGATGGTTAAGTGTTAGGATTTTCTCATTATTCTCATCAAATCAATCTTAGAGACAGTAAGCAGAGTATCCAATTGATTCAACACATGCCCTGTGAATAACATTCTTAAGCTCCTCCCAGTGTGCCTGGACGTCCTTGATGTCATCAGGTAGGTCAGAGAGCTTCTCACTAAGGCATTGCTGAAGAGCCTCGCATCTAGCTTGGTCTTGGAGTGCCTTGATGTTAAATCTCTTCCACATTTCTTTTGGTTGCATACAGCGTTGTGGTGCAAGCTGGAGATCAATCATGGACATGACTAAGTGGTGATCTGTCTAGCAGTCACCTGCACCTCTCAGGACTCGGGTGATACGGACATCAGTACGATCACGGGTTCTGATAAGAGCACCGCTAAAGTGAAGGTGGCTGTGGCCCTGGCCCTGCACCTCCGTGTGCCAGGTGTTGTGCAGATGGGGCTGCAGTCCCCCAGTACCATGGGCTGGGGCTGGGGGAAGGCATGGGTTCTATGCCACCCCTGGCTGCCCACCCACACCACTGCCAGCCCCATCAGGGTGGGGCTATCTCATCCCATCCTGTCCCAGTGGTGCTGGTGCTAGTGGTCACCTGCAGATGGCAGGGAGTGGGAGCAGGACCACCCATGGGGCCTCCTGGCAGCAGCCGGCCCTGGGAAACTGCTGCTGCTGCCCACAGGGAGGGAGGGAGTTGAGCTGGGCTGGGGCTGCCCAGCCAGGCAGTGCCTGGTGCTTGGGACCTCCACAGTCGCAGGCAGCTTCCTGTGTGGCTCTGCTGTTCTCTGCAGCGCTGAGTCATACACGATGGGCTGCAGAGGCCCCAGGGGAGGGCAGCATGGTGGGGAGCAGAAGCCTGAAGTGGGCAGTGTGCAGCCCCTGCCCCACACAGATGTGCGCGCATCGTGGTGGGGAGCAGCACCCCCCCTCCCGCCCACAGAAGACAGGCAGCAGGGGAAGGAGCTGGGCTTTGCTCTGCTGTAGCAGCTGCCGCCTCCTGCCAAGGGCAGGGGGCTGTGAACTTGGGTCCCTGGCCCCACAGCCCTGGCAGCTGGGATCCCCCTCTGACAAGGCTAGGGAAGCAGGCACTGTGGGTGGGAGGCGAGAGGCACCAGCAGGGCTGGGGGATTGTGGAGGGGAGTAAGGGGCAAGAGCAGGGCTGGGGGGTTTGCATGGAAGGGAG